TTCTTTGCAGAGCTGCACCCTGCCAGCCACAAGTATGCGCAGAAGTTTGCGAAATTTCACGTCAGCCATTCCGCCATCTCGACCGAACGCAAAAGTTCCGCGGTATCCAAGCGTGATGCATCCTGATGATGATTTCGATGATGATGGTGATGATCATCATGATTGAGATGGTGGTGCTAGCATTGATGATGATGATGACGATGACGGTGATGATAATGATGTGGCGGTTATGATGACGATGATGATGCAAGAAGAGATTGTGAATTTTATTTTATTATCTGATGTAATAAACAACAAATGAAAAAGAGACTGATAAATATTATTGGCGATAGCGAGTTTTTGAGCTCGGCGGAGCAATATGAAATTTTTATTTCAAACCAAACTGCTACCAAACAACGACAAACCTGATTCAATTGTGTAAACTTGCTGCTGCTGCTGCTGCTGCTGTTGAAGTAACGACATTGACGACAATGAAACGGGACTATTGGGCAAAATCGCCATTTCGAAATTTCCATTGTTAACGTTGTTGTTGTTAAGCAGTGTACTTGCATCGCTCGCTTTGCTGTTAGATAGTTGTTGTAGTAGCTGCTGTTGGCTACCACTTCCTAAATCCTGCTGCTGTTGCTGCTGCCACAACATCGACAAACTTTCATTCTCGTCGCCAGCTTCTAAAAATTTAGTGGCTAGTGATGATTTGTGTTTGTTGCGAAGTTGATGAACCATTTCTGTTAAGCCGTAGTAATCGGCCTCACAAGCTAATCTTTCAGTCTCAGCGAAATGTTCCGGAAGTTTGAAATGGTCAGTTGATTTCTGTCTGAGGAAGTCCAAAATGAAACGGAAGAGAACTCCGTCGCGGTCGATGAAGATTTTTTTGGTTGCTTCTGAGACTGTTGCTAGTGTGGTGATGTTCGTTGAGGATGTTGAAGATGATGATGGAATGGTTGAGTTGTTGTTGGAGGTGTCGACGATATTGTCGAGTTGTTGCTCGGTCGGTTCGATGTTGAATAGTTTCAGAACCGATTTAGCGAGTTTCGAGTTTGGGTGTTTGACGAGAGTGGCCAGGGCTGTTGAGTAATGGACGCCACCGACGTTCAAGTCGATGATTGTCGATGAAGAAGCTGCTGCTGGTGGCTGTGGCGGTGATGTTTGTGGCTGCGGCTGTTGTTGTGGCATCGACGCCATTGTTGTTGTCGTTGTTGATGTTTTTTAAAGTAACAATGTTGAAAATATTATTGTTGTTGTTGATGATATTTTTGTTTCAAATGTTAAATTGTTACTTACATTAATTAATTATTGCAGTTCAAAAAATCATATTCAACGATGAATTTAATTTAAAAAAATTTTTCTGCCCAAAGCTTTCCGACGAAAGACCCTTCTGTATGAAATCTAAACTTTGAAAGTTTCTGTGTCTCTATGTTTTTGTGTTTCATTTGCAACAAAAAATTGCGCTATATCAACAAAATCAGCAGCAACAACATAAAAAACAAAGATAAAAAATCTATGGAAAAACAGATTTCCTCTTCTTTCACTGATGAAATATAAAATTCCGTACGTTGCTCGGAGCAACTCGAAACAGCATAAAATCGAAGAAGATGACGACGAAGATGATGACGTTGATGATGATGATGATGATGACGAAGAGGAAGAAGATGATCGTAACGTCAGCGACGACGTAGATGATGATGAAGATGAAGAAGATGATGATCGTGACGTCAGCGATGACGTAGATGAATGAAATGACGTAAGAGATGGCGACGCGGATGATGTTATAAATCATACGGTGCACGAAAGAATTTTTTAAGAAGGAAAAAAAAAGGAAGAGGAAGTAAACGATGATGTTGTTGTTGTCGTTGAAGATAGTGCTGACGTAGCTGCCGTCGATGACGTCATTGTATACGATGAAAGGAGGAATAAAAAATGAATAAAAGAATGACAAAAAAAGATAAAACAGAAAAATTAGGAATTTTTTTATCTGGCATTTATAGACAAAATGAATGAATGAATGATTGAATGAATGAATGAATGAATGAATGAATGAATGAATGAATGATTGAATGAATGAATGAATGAATGTATGAATGAATGAATGAATGAATGAATGAATTAATGAATGAATGAATGAATGAATGAAAGAATGAATGAATGAATGAATAATTAAAGAAATTTATAAATATTAAAACCTAAATAAAAAAACCACCGTAACCTACTTGGGCGTTGCATTGAAAGATTGTCCTTTTTCATACACGTTTGTGGGACCAACAATGCTTTCCATGCTATACATACATACATAC